GGCTTACTTCTTAGCTGACAGTGCAGTCCTATATAAGGAAAATGTTGCAGGCATTAAAGGTATACCTGAGATAGGTTCCTCGGCATTAATTCCTTAACAGAAAACTTGGTGCCAGAGGCAGAAGTAACATGGAAAGAGCAGGGATTGGTTCTTACAACTTTTGGCAGACTTTTACTGTTGTCGTTGTGTGCCTCCAAGCCATTTTTGACTTACGGCAACCCTATCATAGGGTTTTCTTGGCAAGTTTCTTTAGAGACGGTTTGCCATTGCCATCCTCTAAGGCTGAGAGAATGTGACTTGTGCAATGTCACCCAATGGATTTTTATGCTCAGGGGGGAATAAAAGCCTGATCTCCAGAGTCATATAGTCCAAGGCTCAAACCACCACTACACCTGGCTGGCTGACTATTCGTCCAAAATTGTCAATACACACACATATGTAGTGAAAACAACCAAGTTAGGCACACACATACACAACAAAATTTAAAAAATAGGGACAAGTAACAACCAGAAAAAGTTACAGCACTAAATCCATCTGTTAGACCCAGCTATAGTATGCTTTCTGAAGCTATAGTACAAGATGAGTCTCTCTTATCCAAAATGCTTGGAACCAGTCGGTGTTTTGGATTTTGGAATATATGCATATACAGAATGAGATATCTTGGAGATGGGACCAAGTCTAAACATGACATTCTTTTATGTTTCGCATACAGCTTATACATATAGGCTAAAGGTAATTTTATACACAATATTTTAAATAATTTTGCCCATGAAACAAAGTCTGTGCGCACTTGAAGCATCGGAAAGCAAAGTGTCGCTATCTCAGCCACTCACGCAGACAGTTTTGGATTTTGGAATATTTTGGATTTTGGAATTCGGATAAAGGAAACTCAACCTGTAGTTACATGAATGTTGCTTGATCAAAATCACATTGATTCCATGAGTCTACTTTTAATTTGTGATAACAACTCAGTGCCAATTTATATTGTTCCAAATTATTGTTAGGATCAACCACAGGAGACCCATGGAATCAATGGCAACACTTAGGTAAGTTCCACTGATTCCATAAGTCTACTCTAGTGTAAGAAGGGTAAACCTCATATGGTTCTCCAGTTGTTGAACTCCAACTCCCAACATCACTTCTTAATGGATATGGTGACTAGGTAAGATGGGAGTTGCAGTCCAACAACATCTGGAGAGCTGTGTGATCCCTATCCCTCATTTAAGTTGCATCATTTAAAACATAATTAAACAAATATTAAAACATAATTCAATTGGAAGCAATTAAAAAACAGGCAAGAGATGAATGCTGATGGTTTAGTTCCTCATTTATCAGCATTTGTTTAATTCTGCAAACCAAGTGCAGCCCAGCTGGATCGTCATATGATCATGCAAATAAACTGCAAAATTAATTATGAAACAATCATAATTAAGACTCAGTTCTTCACAACAGGAAAGGAAGTTGAGAAATTCACTGTTTTTCTCAGGCTCTCTCAGAACCAGGGCAAGTCTTGTGTGTGAACAAAGCTTTGTTTCTAAAAAGTTGTTAATTAATATGATATATTTCTGGTTTTTTGGGCAGCAGTGCGTGTGTGTGCATGTGTGGTCCCAACCCGCCCAGTCCTGTTGGTTGCTCAGAGAATAAAGCAAAACCCACCCACAATGGTGTTCAAGCGCACAACCACACTTCACTGAGACAAGGCCAGGCATGTGGGAGTTTTGCAGCAAGGTTACACAATGGGAGCATCTCACTTTGCAGCCAAGCAAAGGTCAAAGAGACAGCACTAAATATCCCTTCTGAGCTGCCCCAAGGTCTTCTGTATTTCATCATTCATCCACCTACACGCCACTTCCCCGTCGCCAAGACTTGGAGGCTTTTTCACACAACACAATCACAACCTTACGATGCCACTTCAAATGCCACGGTTGCAACCTGTGGAACACTGGCCAAGAAAGTTAAATCAAAATCCACATTTCATAACTTTACAAAACCCTGTTAGCAATGTTTTTGTAACTTTACAAACCCCAGCCAGCATGACATAGTGCTGGACTACAACTCTGGAAACCAGGGTTCAATTTACAGCTCGGCCACGAAAACCACTGGGTGACCTTGGGCAAGTCACATGCTCTCAGCCTCAAGGGAAGACAATAATAACAAACCTCCTCTGAACTAATCTTGCCAAGAAAACCCCACAATAGGTTTGGCTTAGGGTCGCTGTAAGTTGGAAATGACTTGAAGGCACACAACAACAACAACAACCCTGCAGAAAGTTTACAAAACCCTATTAGTGAATCGCAAAGAGGTGCATCCAAGCCTTGGCAAGAGTGCTCCAATGCACGCCATGCACTTCCTAGTCAGTGTCCAGATGCAATTTGGGGAGCATCACCTTGCCCATTGATACCTACTGTGCATTAGGCCATGGCACATCTTTCGCTCCAAATGGATGCCCATATGTCACAATGTCATGGCAGCCCCATGTTAAAGCTGCTTCTGACCTATGGCAACCCTAAGGTGAACCTATCATGGGGTTTCTGGGGCTGAGTGTATGTGACTCACTTAAGGTCACCCAGTGGGTTTCCATGGTCGAATGGGGATTTGAACCCTGGTCTCCAGAGTCGTAGTCCAACTCTCCAGCCACTAGACCATGCCGGCTCTCTTGAAACCCCTAGAATAAATACAAATACTATGAAACTATTCCACTTTGCACACGTAAGGCAATTTTTGAAGATGTAAATCACAAACAGAATGCCAGCCATTATTATTACAGGTTGAGTATCCCTTACAGACTGGATAACCTTGGGTAAGTCACACTGTCTCAGCTCAAGAGAATGGCCATGGCAAACCCCCTCTGAAGAAACATGCCAAGAAAACCCCATCATAGGTTTGCCTTAGGTTTGCCGCAAGTTGGAAACGACATGAAGTCACACCATTACAAATCCTTTTATCCAAAATGCTTGGGAGCAGAAGTATTTTAGAGTTGGGATTTTTTTTTTCCAGATTTCAGAATACAAGTATTATAACATGTACCTGTATTGCATTTGTGAGGCTGGTGAGAGACGCGGCTGGAGAGAAATGTGATGATCTGTGAAATGGTGGGAATCTACGGATAATGCATGATGCAAATCCATACCTCCAACCATTTCACAGATCCTGACACCTCTCTCCAGCCTCACAAATATAGTACAGGTATATATAGTTAGTTTTTCATATCCATGAATTCTTTTATCTACGGATTCAACTATGCATGGCTTGAAAACATTCCAAAAAAGCACACCTTGATTTTGCCGTTTTATATTAGGCACACCATTTCACTATGCCATTGTATTTAATGGGACTTGAGCATCCATGGATTTTGGTATCCATGGGGGGGGGGGTTCCTGGAACCAAACCCCAGCAGATACCAAGGGGGGTTGCAGACTATCAGAAATAGTGTGAATTCAGTGTGCTTTTAGGGTTAGGGTTAGGGTCAGGGAATCATGGGGACTGTATTTTATTGTGGCACTAGAGTTCTCTGACAAAGAAGGTTCAATGTCTCAGAAAAATAACAATTCCCATGATTCCCTAGCACTAACCCTAACCCTAAAAGTGGACTGAATTCACACTATTTTTGACAGTCTGCAACCCCCCCAAGTCCCCAATATACTACGATCCTTGTACAGTGTATTATAAAATCCAAGGCATTTCAAAATCAAAGTGCCATGATGGTGCTCAAAACATTTTGGATTTTGAAGCATTTCAAATTTCTGAATCAGGGCTACTCAACTTGTATTATTATCATCCAACCTTTTTTCCCCAGTCTGGAAATCAAGGTGGTTTACAAAACTTAAAACCAATACAGCCAAAAATGTTTACCCAAACAAAAACTGAAAATATAACCAGACGATCAATAAAATGAAACCCATTTGAAACAAAGCAACAAAGAGAACAACAAATCTAAACTACACAGTACATAAAAGGCCCTTTTCCTCCTGGCAAGTCAGCCATCAAACACCTGCCAAAACAAAAAGGTCTTCACCTGCCTATGGAGGTATAGCAAGGAACTTGTTGTTACTGTGCGCCATCAATTTGTTTCTGATTTATGGTAACCCTAAGGGATTTTCTTGGAAAGATTTGTTCAGAGGTTTGCCTTTGTCCTGCCTGGAAGCTGCAAATGTCTGGATGCAATTGAGCTATCTGGCTGGAATCCACGGAATTAAAACTTTCAAGATCTTTCTAATTTCCCTCTTTCGTTCCCTTGCTTTTCTGGGTTTGCTTTTTCCTCCCCTAAGGGACGGCAAGAACCTCTCTCTGTCCAAATGTGAAATACGCCAAGTTTGAAATACACAAAACCAAAACCAAGTTGCGGTAACACCTCCGAGAATTCAGAATTTTGAAAAATGAAAAGAGGGAGGAAATTTGCTGCACAGAAGCTTCTATACAACTTTGGGGAAACTTCTGTTTTTCTCCCCCCACCCTCCCAAAAAAAATATTGGGGTGGAAGAGAGAAAGGGATCCATAAGTGGGAAGGGCCAATATTTCTCGACAAAAATGGAAAAGGATCCTCCAGCCCACCTCCAGCTGTCCTTCAGGAAGAGGCAGGACTGTAAATTCGGACGAAAGCAAGAAAAAGTGAAAGTACTTTGCTAAATTTGGATGCAAACTCTCATAGGTGCAAAACCTCACCGTAGGAAAGTGCCAGGGGTTTGCACAAGGGGACCAGAATCATTTTGGGGGGAGTAATAATAATAATAATTTCTCAATATTTCCATTGGTTTGTAAAACTGGCCTGGAGTGACCTTTAAGGAAGACTGGAGGCTGACTGTCCTTGGCACAGGTCAGCCCAATTTGTTGTTGTTGCCCTGTGCCTTCAAGTCGTTTTCAACTTTCATGAGGTTTTCTTGACAAGGCGTCTTCAGAGGGGGTTTGCCATGGCCATCCTCTGAGGCTGAGAGAGTGTGACTTGCCCAAGCTCATCCAGTGGGTGTCCATGGCCGAGCCGGGATTCAAAGCCTGGTCTACAGAGTCCCAGTCCAGCACTCAAACCTCTATGCCACAATTTTTGGCCCTAAATTCAGAATCCCAGGCAAGGGAGGATGATGTGCTTCTGGTCCAAGGAGCTCTCAAGGTACAAAAATGCACCACTGACCCTGATGGAGATGAAAAGTTTCTTTGGGGAGAACTTCAACTCCCAGGACTGTATGGGATTTCTCTGCCTGTACAGTAACATCAGTGTGGTGCAGTGGTTTGAGCATTGGTCTCTAACTCTGGAGAACAGGGTTCGAATCCCTGCTCAGCCATGAAAAACCACCCTTGGGCCAGTTACTCTCTCTCAGCCTCAGAGGACGGCCATGGCCAACCCTCCATGAAAAAACTTGCGGAGAAAACTCTGTAATAGGATCTCCTTAGGGTTGCTGTAAGTTGAAAATGGAAAAGGCAAACAACACACACATCTATCTACCTATCTTTTCTCAGAACTGAGAAAATAATAAAATAATACAGTAATAAATAAATAAATAAATAAAATAATTGAGAAAAGTTACTTTGTCTGGACTCAACTCCCAGACTCCCCCAACCACCTTTAGCAGAATGCCTTTTAATATTCTCCAAAGTCCCAACTATCCTATTTCTTTGACTTTATATCCCAGCTGTCTTTCCAGTTTAGCAACGTTCCTTTGCCTAGGAAATTGTGCATTTGCTTTGTTTTCTTAAGGAAACTTGACAAGCTCTGAATTCTTCAGGAGTTGTTATTGCTCCTTTTAAATTCAACATTACCCGAGACTTCTGCATTTTGCTTGCAGTTTGGAATAAAGGATATTGATCTTTACGGTGTAAGGTCCGTAATATTATGGTAACCATATAAATAATGTCAATGTAATGAGAACAACAATAGTGGTATTCTTCTAAGGTTGGCAGGTGTCCCTTATCTGAGGGCTGGAAAGTTTTTCCTGTTCTATAGCCTGAAGGAGATGCCAAAATAATCATCATTATCATCCTGTATTTGGAGAGGCAGCCCTTTCCTAAAGCCAGAAAGGTGTGCAACATGCATCCATCAGTTTTCCCAGAGGCTGAACACAGCCAGGTACAACACTTTCCTTATAATTCCCTTTATAAAAGTTGTTTCTTTTTAGAGTGCAAACACTTCCATTGCTGACCATCCCTCCTGCCTTGGCCATGCCCTTTGCCTTGTCCTTTTCTTGCTTTTTGGAAACCCTGACCATGCTAGCACCCCTTCCTTTCCTCTTCCCTTCTCTCCTTCCTCCCTCCTTTCATTCTTTTTCTTTCCTCCCTTCCCTTCCATCTTCCCTTCCTCCTCTCCTTCTTCCTGCCTCCCTCCCTCCCTTTCTTTCCTTCCTTCCTCCCTTCCTTCTCTTCTCCCTCCTGTCCTTCCTTTCTTCCTCCCTTTCTCTTCTTCCTTCCATCCTTCTCTTCTCCTCCCTTAACTTCTTTTCTCTCTTCTTTCTCTCTCTCTCTCTTTCTTTCTTTCCTCCCTCCCTCCTTTCTTTCTTTTCCTTCCTCCCTTCGTTCTTTCCTCCCTTCTCTTCTTTCTTTCTTTCTTTCCTTCCTTCCTTCCTTCCTCCTTCCTTCCTTCCTTTCTCTTTCTTTTCTTTTCCTTTCCTCCCTTCTTTCTTCCCTCCTTCCTTTCTTCCCTCTTCCTTCTCTCCTTCCATTCCTTCCCTTCCCTCCCTTTCCTTTCCTTCCTCGCTCCTTCCTTCCCTTTCCTTCTTCCCTTCCCTTTCCTTCCTTCCCTCCTTCCTTCTTCCCTTTCCTTCCCTCCCTCCTTCCTTCTTCCTTTCCTCCTTCCCTTCCTTCCCTCCCTTCCTCCTTCCTTCCTTCCTTCTTCCTTTCCCTTCCCTTCCTTCTCTCCTTCCTTTCCTTTCCTTCCTCGGTCCTTCCTTCCCTTTTCCTTCTTCCCTCCCTCCTTCCTTCTTCCTTTCCTTCCTCTTCCCTTCCCTTTCCTTCCCTCCCTCCTTCTTCTTCCTTTCCTTTCCTTTCCTTCCTTCCCTCCTTCCTTCCCTTCCTCTTTCTTTTCCTTCCCTTCCTCTTCCCTTTCCCTTCTCCCCTTTCCCTCGTCCGACTCACGTCATGTTATGGACGGTGCGCCCGCGGTTCCAGAGGAGGCAGACGGGGGCCGTGAGGGCGGAGCAGACCAGGCACAGCAGGCAGTAGCCGAGCACCTTCAGACGGAAGCCCAGCCGCGGGCTCAGCGACGCCAGGCCCAGGCCCAGGCCCAGCACCGTCAGCCCCAGCCCCAGCCCCAGCCCCGAGGCC